GGAAGAAAAAAAAAAAAAAGGTGTGGTTTTCTCAAAGTCAAAGGGTGCCCCTGCCTAGCACCACCAAAAAAAACTGCAATCCCCATTCGTAAGGCTCCGAGCGTGAAAGCCCTACATGAACGACTGCAGTGATGGGATCGGCGCACATCTAGGCCGCTTCTCCTCGATAGAGTCATCGGCATCAAGGAACGCCTGGAAATCGCCTCATATCCATGGACAAAGCGTGCGACACTTTAGCTTAACTTCGCAGAATGGGTCCTACAAATGGCTCTGAACTTATTGAACCTCGCCTTTTCTGGCTACTAGTTTCAACACTCCTTGCCCGCAAGCTTCTTCATTGCCCAGCTGGACGTGCCCCTTCAAGGCATCAGTCTGTGGCTCGCATGTAGATGTACTGCCATCATACATATTTGCTCTAGAAATCCAATGGCCAGACCTGCGACATTCAAAAACACACCCCTCCATCTGCGTGCGGGCTGCTCATTGGCGTTCCTCTTGAAGATTGCAAGCTTCACCTGCTGTGCGCTTTGCTTGTCCCGCTCTAGCAATATCCCAAGTATCAGGAAGAAGATAGAAGGATTCTGTATACCATGCAATATCTAAAAAACCATAGATTGTACATGCTGTATACCATGTAATATCTAAAAAACCGTAGATTGTACTATTGTAGCCTGTTGAAATGCACTATATGTTACTAATAGTATACTAAACTGGGTTGCTGGTAAGGAACTTAAGTTAAGTTATCATAATGGGTATATTTAGTAATTAATACGGTTTCCCCAATATAGAAACTGAATCTATATAAGTTCCTTAACAGCGACCCAGTAAAGCTTCTTCCCCAGCCCGCCTTCGCGCCATCTGGCTCTCACCGGCGCGACGCGCCGCGCATGAATGCGCGGGTACTTGAGAGACACGATGCAGCGGAAACAACCCCAATATGTGGGGGGGGTATATAGGGATACTGGAAAAGAAAATGGAAACTACTGTAAGGGTTAGGGTTTAGGATTTATAGTTCAGGGTTCAGGATTTATATAGAGGCATAGAGGGATTATATAGGGATAATGTCAAAGAAAATTGGAAACTACTATTATGTAGGGGTAATATAGGGGCTCTATAATCAACGCGACAGCCTCAACGGCCTTCAGCACCGTGGTTTTACAAACGCGAAGGTTGTGGATGCGCGTCGAAATTTCCGCAAGCAAGCAAGCCACACGCCCAAAACCCTATTCCCCGACCCTAAACCCTAAAACCCTAAGCCACAAACCCTAAAACCCTAAACCCTAAACCCTAAAACCCTAAACCCTAAACCCTAAAACCCTAACCCCTTTTCCCCGAGGTTGAACTCTTCACCCATGCCTTGGTCATGAACTTTCTCACATCGGCTGGCAGTCCTGACCAGTGAGGCTCCACGGCTCTCAGATTTCCCATGGACAGTTTGAAATCTGCAAGGCTTTCAGGTTTAACTTACATTGACTACCAGGCATACTCAGAAAAGACTACCGAAGAAATGGATCATGTCGGAACCATCCCAAAGCCTCGCAAGGGAAGGCTTCAACAAACCCTGACAGAATGGGTTTCCCAGCACAGGGATAGTAAGGAGGGTATGGAGCTCCCGTGTCTTCCGTCAAAAGTTGGCAATAGATGCGGAACAGTATCGGCGCACCAGCTGTGCAAGTGGAGGACAAAGCACTCAAAAGCCCGATTTCATCTATTTTAGCCGGTGTAGAAATTAGGGTGCCCGCTGTGAGAAGTGTGTGTAAGGCGTATGTTTCAGAGTATGATTCGGGGCTTGCTTCAGGGCTGTGCTTCTGGGGTGGGCTAAGTTTCCAGGTATGTTTCAATTTCGCTCCCCCAAACGTCCCCTTTCCTCTTGAACCCGAAGCCTCTTTGAAATGCATACGCCCATTTGGCCATTACATTTCGAGTTCAGGTATTCTGAATACCTGCCAGTAGCAGCAGGCACTAAACTACAAGCTGAAAATCAGAGCAAGTATACTACGGTACACCATACCCCCTCTCCAACCAGTGCCACATCACATCATACCGTGTCATACCTATTCTGTGGATATTACTGTGATGTTTCCAGCTGCATTTTAATGCCCGAGGTCATGGCTTACCTAGCGCATGTCCTCTCTGAAGCAATGAGGCGCTTTCCAAACGACAACTCCCCTGATTGTCTATCCTCTGGAATAGGAACACGACCGAAAACGAGCCGACCTTTAACCTCCTTCCGAGCAAACTGGGACTAAGCATGCTGAGGGTAACGATGGCTTCTCAGGGACTTCTTGAACTTCCTGTGCACCCTCTTTGCCAGTTGCCATCTTTTCTGGCAATGCAGGGACCATCAGGTATGATCAGTCAATGAATTCGCCGCTTGGCTTGCCAGCTTAGGCTTGGGGAATCAATGACGCACCCCTCTGGCAATATTTTCCGAAATTAAGGATCCTTTCTGGGGGTTCCTATAATCAGGATTGTAGGGTTTAGGGGCACAAGATCTGATGGATAGGCATGGGCGATTAAATGACGCAACTGGACCCACCCAACCTACATGGCTTTCGACTCGAGAGGCCTTCCGATGGGTGGATGAATACTTGTCAGGACCACAAAAAACATGAATCAAATGCCAAGCAAGCTGTAAGGATCCTTCGGAACGGCACACGACACCGACAAGATGTAGAGGGCCCAACGAAGCCAGAGTTGAGAACAAGATCTTGGAGTCTACAACTTCTGGCAAAATATACTACACCAGTTTCCATATTAATTTCCATTATCCCAATATAACCCCAATATAACAGATATCTGGTGCTTTGGCCCAAGCTCAGCAGCCTCTCCAACTCTCCCTATCCAAGCATCTCTGGCCCGACAAGCAGCTAAAGCCTCGCAGGGATCTGGATACAATCAGTGGAGCAGGAGGAGGAGGTAATATTGGGGTAATACTGGGCTATATAGGTATAATGGGATAACGGAAAATAAAATCGAAACTACTATAATGGGTTATAATACCGGGATTAAAGGGATGAAGAGAAATTGTAGGTACTGTAAGTACCAACTACAAATTTACGAAGCATTAGGTTTGTGAGGGACATGGCACCAGTAGAGACAATGTCAATCCGTTGAGAAGAGGGGCGGGCTTGCAAACACTTGGCTCAAATGCTGTTGGGGCGCATAAGCAACTGCGAAGGACCCGCAAAATTACATTCAACGTCTGCTCTGCAAGTGGAGCACGTGGGTGTTGAGTAGGCAGGGTACTAGCAACTGCACAGAATCCGGAAAAGGATCGTTGTCTCCACCCTTACTAATTATTCTCAGTGCGGGCATCATATTGGCTGCAGGTCGTGTGGTCTGCACTCAGCCTAGAACATAGACTACCCAGCTGCCATCCCAGGGCCTCTTTGAAACGGCGCCGTAGCCTTCCTGAGCTTGCAAGGTCTGAAGAAGAAGTTAATCAAAAAGGGTCGCCTAGCTCGGAAAGGCCCTGCAAAACCGGAGCTGCCTTGATTTGATGCTGCTGGGTACCTGTACTTGGCGTCCCTATCATACTCCTATTGTGAAGTGCATGGGTCACACCCCACTCCACCGCTGATCGATGGCTTCGAGTTGTGGCTGGAATCTTTGACCTTGTTCAAGCAACAGCCTCGGCCCAACAGGTCCAATCTGCGAAGCTCAGAACTCAGTGGACAACATCACCCACAAACATCCACGAACGCTACGCCTCTATCACTCACACTCCTGACAACGCCTTTCACACCTCGACCGAAACCCTTGACCGCCAAAAACTGAAGCCTCAAGCCCTTCAACCCTGAGGCGCGCCAGCCCGCCTCGTAATCCCCCTACGCACCAAGGCTGCCGAACGCACGCTAAGCCTCCGAACTGAGCACCTCTTTTCCCCTGCGCCTGCAAGGATCCTTTCAACTTCTTAGGTAGAATAGGATCCGCTCTTGGAAGGGCACCACATCGATTTCTATCTGTGCTCATCATATAAGAACCCAGGACGCAAAAGGCTAGAAGATCTTACCTGTACTAACTCTGAACTCTCACTATTCAAGCAGAGGCACCGTGTCTTCCTTGCCCTCCACCAGACCAAAGCGTTCGTCGAAGCAGGTCCCAATCTGGGGGGATTTTCAAAACAGGGCGGTAATTATGCAATAATCGCAATATGTAACAATACTACAAAGTTACAAGCAACCCTTATGACAGTGAGCTTGAAGCTTGGAGTGGGTTCGTTCGAACAGGATCGCGATACTCAGGGCTCCTCAACTACTTCTCATTACGGAGGTTCCGTGACTAACAGGGGTCCCAATTGAGCTCTGATAAGGCCTTGGGGTTTCTTTTAACAGGCTTGGCGTCTTTTTGTCTGGGAAACTTGGGGATGTTTAGGAAAGGAATCTCTTTTCCTCAGTGACAGTATGACTACTTGAGGTAGGCGCGTCGAGGACGAGAACTGCACAGGAGGCGGTGGTCAAAGCATGGCGCGGGCACCCTCATAAGCCACGGCAAGCGACGATGATGATAATAATATGATGATGATGATGAGGAGGAGGAGGAGGAGGACTGTTACAAGCGCCCATGTTCCAGGCGCAGCCCCATCAGACAAAGACAAACATCCCAAGATCATTAGACCAGAGCCTTTTTCTAAATGCGATGCCTTCCTGCTCCTCAACCAGCGTTATCCAACCTACGCACTACCAGCGTCGAGAGATCCACGCAATCCTGGCTACACATCAAGCTGTGTTTTCCCCTGCACTTTTTCAAGAAGCTTTGCAACAAGGATCAGCAGAATTATCAGCATCATTAGCTATCAACATCAGGTCGTCACCAATATACTTGGCCATCAGGCTGCGCGTGTCTCAGCTCCCTGTAGTCGCTCCCAGTCCTGCCTGTTCCAGTGGCACGCCGCGAGTCTCCGGCAGCCAGATGCCCAGAGCAAGCGCCACAATGCAAAAAGCACCAAAGAGGAGGAAAGTCCCAAATCCAATCGCTGTCCTCACATCTGCAGAGTGAGCGTCACGAGCTGTGAAATGAGCTGAAATGGTCTGAAAATGCAGCGCCTATCCAAGCTTGCACACGCGTGACCTAAATGCTTATGGAGTTCTGTACAGAACCAAGTGTCTGCATGACGTTCAAAAACGTGCTTCATGTAAAGGCTAAAGCGGCTAAGGCACATTAGGATTGGAGAGAACTGAGCTATGAGGAAGTTGCCGACCTCAACTGGATGTGGCTTGGGGTCTGTGCAGTATCAGAGGCGATTGAACAAATCTGCCAGTGCTCCAGTCTTAAAATTGAAGAACAAACCATCAGTAAAAAGCCCTGCCGTGCTGAAGACCGGAAGAGTGCCCAAGCTGCAAAACGAATATCGGGGAAGACTCATCTGCCGCTCCTGCAAGATCCTGAAGTGACGACCATGCAGCCGTGATGCCCAGTTGGTCATGGTCGTCACTCCCACACATTGGGCCCGGTGCCGAAGGGGGAACATCTCTGCGCCTAAACACAAACCGCGATAGAGATGTGCAGATGCAGTGGATCAATGTAAAGGAATGAATCCCAAGGGTCCCTCGCAACATATGGTGCGGAGATTCTGTCTTGGGCCATACAAGATCTGCTTTGGCAATTTCCACATGCAGCTTTGGCGCGAGGACCTGAACTTTTTTCAGGGTGCTAGTTTCTGTTTGGCGCAGCCAGGGACACAGGGGGTGGATCTACATAGTTTAGACACCCTGAGCTTGAACATGTAAACAAAGGTTAGGGTATATTTATATTCTGGGCCATGCAAAGGACGCTTCTTCCCATCATTTGTGGTTCTATTACCCACTGACCGCAGCAAAGACCATCAAATTGCCGACTAAACAGAGGGCAAGATGTTTTTGTAAAGAGTCAGCACGTGCTGCGAGGAGAGCACAAAAAGAGACACCACTCTTGCAAGCTGAGATGCAGTAGACCCAAACCGCAGGACCCCAGGTGCTAGCAAAGCTTGCGATGAAGCATAGGACCTCAAATCACAACTCTGTGCTTGACAGATCTGCGCAGTGAACAAAGAACCATAAAGTTGACATGCATGTGTATTGCAGGCTTAAGAACGACCAACTGGCTTCAAGTGAGTCCATTGCAGACAGGTGGAAGAGAGACTACAAGAGAAGCAACAAGCGTGCTGGATGATTTTCACTCACAGTATACCATGAAACAACGAAATGAGCTCTGTACCTGACTTGTGCACATACTTATGTGCAGCAGTGAACCATCGCTGCCAGCACCGCGCCCACCAGCGGCGAGGAAGGTTCAATGTTCTCACCACTGCCTAGGCTGAAAATGCATTTTGGCACGTGCCGTTGTGCATTTGGCCATGCCAAGCGCAAAAACTATGTTTGGTCGGGATCTGTGTCTTGGAAGTTGTCAGGCTTCGAACGCAACAAGGCATACTGAGCTGAGCATTGATAACATCCACGGATTTTGCGGCAAGCCAACCCTGTGATGGCTCTTGACAACTCCCCAGGGCTTCTACACATATTGCATCATATCAGGGCGCCTGTGGTGCCGTAGAGTCCAAGGAAGCCGAGAGCAAAGTTGGACACTGCCATTCCCAGCGCACCAGCAATGAAGAGGGATCGACGTCCAGTCTTCCTTGGCTGCTCAACTAAACCAAAAGGCTTCGGACTCTGCTGCAGAAGGTTGTGGCCCATGGGGGGAAGGCGACTGCACGGGCTGTGCCATACCATGGTCCACTTAGCCGGCAAAGCGTCTCGATGAAATAGAGCGCCGGGAGTGTGAAGACCATGTTTGTTGCGTTGGCGATCCTTGCTTCCCACTCTCGGTGGAGGTTGTGGGAGTATGTGGGCTTGGGCAAGCACGTGCTGAACTGTCAACAGTCTGGCCTGAGAGTACGTACATCATCCACGGTCAAGAACACGGGGCCAAACAAACAGGCATTTGCTTGCAAGACCCCTCCGCTATCAGCAACATGAGCGGCAGCTTGTGGGATGCCTTCCGCCATCTTCTGCCCTTAAAGGATTTGAAGAGGATTGGCTCGTATGACTCGTATGAAATTGCAGTGGCGACCTTGAAGGATCGATCGCAATGCAGGGGTTCCCGCAGATCGCAAATGCTCGCTTCCGGTTCATCGCTGCACCAAGCTGCGTCTGGAAGAGATTGGCATCCAAGTTCATATGCTTGAACACCCGGGGGCCGAAGTACATGAAAGCATTCCTGGATCACTTTCAGCATGAGCTGTGAGAGAAATGTGTAGGCTGCCATGCGCATCCAAAAGCGATATTCACTGGTCCCTATCTCCATGATAAGCCCTACGTCTTATTCCGTCCTTCCTGGCATTTTATCAGTAAGCATACTGGTGCAGCTGATGCGATTTGCAGACAGGAATTCAGCACTGCAAGCTTGCGCGCCCAGACCTGGTTGTTGGTGTTGTATGGCTATGATGCCAGCACTACTGGCAGTGGAGTTCCGTGAGCACTCGTACTGCTCTGCTACTGCTACTACTAGTCACTAACCCGTGTTTCCATGACCGTGGCAGACAGGTCACATCCCCACCAGCTGTTGTAGCATCTGCAGGGACGCCCCAATGCCCACGAGGAGTGCCATCCGTCCGCTAAAGACCTGACAACACTCTCCTCAGGCTGAGTTGGGGCAGTAAAAAAACCGTTCCCAAGCTTTGTATCCTTGAGATCTTAACATTGTTATCGGTACATTTCCTCTGACAGGGGTTTACTCTGGAAAGCGGTCATCGGTGAAGGCTTTTTATAAAGGAGACAAAACTTAATGGGCCCACCAATTCTAAATGAAGAGGCGCGGTGTTATTTTCCTCCGTCCCAGTTAATCCCTCTAACACTGCAAAGTACTGACACCCAATCCGTAACCGGTGAGGCTAAATCCTGCCCACGAAGAACACCCCAAACGGGACTACAATTTCACGCTTCCATGCCCCGAAGACCCGCCTCGCCCCAGCTTCCACTGTCGACGGCACACTCTGCCTGGTGCGGCAGTACGCCAATTTCCCGAATCAAGGGGACGCAACGCTGGGCATCTTACGAGTACCCTCTACCCCTCACTGGGCAGAAGTCCTTCAGCTCAATTCAGGGTCACAGGGCTGCTGCTAGTGTGCATAGCCGAGACCTCAAAGAAAGAAAGATAGATGGAGGGAGAGAGAGAGAGAGGGGGAGCAAACAGCAAGCACCATCTTATCTTGGCTGCAGCCTACCTTGAACTCCTCGACGATTTCTGCAAGCTCCTGTTGCGGACGGTTCCGTCTGTTTTGCCCAGCTTTGGGGTGTGGTGTGTTAGTAACCCTCGAGGCCCTTTCTCAACTGCAGCTTCCTCATTTGTTTCTGTCCCTTGCCGCAGGCCTGGCCTTCTCGGCCGTCTGGCTCCCGCGGAGGAGTGTCAGAGCCTCGCTGGCCTCTGACAATCGTCCCTGGCAAAGCATCTTCAGGCTTCAGCGTATGGAGCAACTAGAGTTGGGCAAGACTTTGAACTTTGAGCTGGCGTACTCGAGGATGATGGATTACAAGCTTCAGTTCCCACACGCTCAGACAGCCTCAGCGAACAATGCCAAAATGCTGTGCAGAGTCCCTCCCGTAGCTTCCAACATGCGATGCTGCCAGGAGGATAGAGGGGGACAGGTCTGCAATTTGTGTTGACTGTCGGGTGGCAACGAACAAGTCAAACGCCCGCATGCAACAACGCACAGATTGCTGACCCCTTACATCTTCCGAATGGTGGGGGCCTGGATTACAACAGGAACTAAGCAAGCAACTGGAAGGCTTGTGAAGCTACACGAGGAGACCTGCCATAATCCGTACACGCCCCAGCAAAGATCCTGGCCTGCTGTACCAGCCACCTTGGAGAGCGCGGCAGGAAAGGCATGGTCAGCAAGATGACAACTGCCGGGATTGCCTGCGAAGGGCTTAAATTGAATTTGGAATTCGTCAATCTGGGGGTACCCTGGTGATTCTAAGGGTACTTGGGGATGATAAAAGAAAATTCTTGGGTGCAGGTGGTTGTTTTGACAAATTCCCAATGTCCTTGCTACTGATACTGATACTGCAACCTTTTCCTGTGTGCTGGTCTTTCTTGAGGTTCCGGTGCCAAGTTTTGGAGATTGGGCTGATGAAGCTGTGTCCCTCTGCACAGGTTAGATGCTCATAAAGGGCTTTGCGAAGTCGAGGTCTAGGCTCTCAAAGTGCTTGAGAAGTCTTGGTTTCTTGAATCATAAACATTCCGACCCTGAAAGGCTCAACGCATACCAACGGATGTAGATGTCACGGCAGGGGGGGTGCTAGAAAGCCACGCCTGCAGCGCGATCGCCATTCTCCAACCATTGTCAACCTCTACCAGAAACTCATCCAGAAGGGCTGCGATGAAGATACCTCCCAGCCAAACAGCTCGGCTTATCATAGGACATGGGGTTATTTGGACCATGTAGAATGGGTATCCCAATAATGCAGAAGGCACAAGTCTAGTAGGGTCTGCCGCTCTCAACTGCGTCTCCAAAAAGCGGCTTTTCAATGAACAAAGGTTCTGCGACTTGGTCTATGAGGCCTAATGCTCCATCACAGATAAACGAGAGTCTCAAGGCCTGTAGACGGGCCTGCGTACAGAACACCGCCCAAACACAGATAGGCGTGCACAACAATAATCCCCGACTGCTAAACTTCAAACCTTCAGCCTTCAACCCTTAAGCCTAAACTACCAGCCCAAAACCCCCAACCCCAGACCCTCAGTGATATTGTGCTTTTCATTGCACTCCTACGTAATCCTGATAACCACCTTTTGCAGAACCCTTAACAAAAACTACTGCCTGCAGTGATCATCATGTTGTACATCGAGGTGAGCGTGCCGCGTAAAGCCGCAGGCGCCATCTCTGCCTCTTCGAATTAAAGGGCATGAGGAGTACTGGGATACTAACCCCACAACGGAGAATCAAATGGAAAATAAAACGGAACATGAAATGGCATTTTTTGGGAGCTTTCCTTGCCTGGTACATGGGCACGACGTTGCTCAGCAGGCCAATGGATGTGCCAGTCACCAGCCGACCAAAGAGGAAAGTCTCAGCAAGAGGGTGCTGTGTCTTATCCTATATGCCCTTGAGCGGTGCCTACACATCGCACGGCCTGTTGCAGACATGAGTAGCAAGTGTCTGCATCTGTATCTGTGGCAGTTGGGCTTGCAGATTTGAACCTTGCTGAAAGCTGAACGGCAGCATCAATTGCCGCCATCTCATTGCATGCCGAGCAACTCCCATGGACGCGCTGCACGACTGCAGCAGGCAGCCCAGCAAGAAGATGATCTGAGCTGCAAGATGCGAACGCCCGTCAAAGCCTGAACAACAATGTCATGATACTTCTCACTGCGCTACCACTGACCCAGGCTTAGAGTAAACAACTCCAACATGGCTGCTAGGCATGCAAGACAGCGCCCTGTTCCAAGGCCAGTGCCCCTCCCAGGATGATGGAGCTTCTCCTGCCGAACTGGTCAAGGAAGAAGCCTCGGCTACTTCAGGCATCTTGAGGCCATGCAGAAATAGCACCACAAAGGGGAGCCTTTAGGTAGCAAACGTGCTACACATATGATATATATATATATTATATTATATATACACATGCCACATATCCATACCTTGAGTAATTGTATTTGCGCGCTTGGACACTTACGGGCCATATGTCAAGAAGGAGATTGGCACAATGACATTACTTGCACCATTTGCAGTCCACGGTGCTGCTGATCGGCGGGAAGGATGTCGTTAAGCATCCGATGGAGAAGATCTCAGTTGCAGCTCTGAGATAAGATGACTAGTGACGAGCTGGAGTGGATATCATTGGGGATACAATTGGGATATTGAAAACGGATACTACTATTTCACTTAAGGTTTGGGGTTGAGGCTCCCATGTCAAATTGAAGACGGCAGCGGCTGACTTCTGTGTTGGCGCGCCTGGCCCTACCCGGTTTTTTGCTATAGAGCGAAGCATTGCAACAGACAGATCTAATCACTGACAGGATGGCTGTCACCTCCCATCCGGCACTCCATTGCTTCCCCTTGATTCTTGCACACGCCATACATGATATCAAAATACTTCCCAAGGCTCCGGCAGCCACGATGAATCCTGCCTCCACCGAGGAGATCTTGGAGTTCGAGTCCGACCAGTCCGACAAGTGCCCAACATCCTTCAGCTCTTCAGGTTCAGATGGAATCTTTTTTTGTTTTTAACAACCCTTCACACCTTTTCTGTGCGAGCAAACTGCTAGGGTGGATTATCTATTGCACTCTCAGTACCACATCGCTGTCTACGTAGGTGGCCCCAACGTTGTTGTCAACTTGGACTCTCACGGTGTTCCAGGTTGCAGAAGACACTCCACAAACTACTTGTTGATCCGTCTTCAGGGCTTAGGGTTCAAAGTTTGAGGCTTCAGGTGTAGGGCATCGGGCGGCTGAGGGTTGAGAACCAGTGAACGTGGATCCTTGTTGGCTCCCTGCTCAGGAATGTTAAGGCTGTTAAGGTTCCACGAGGAATGCGTGGACCTTTGTGCGTGAGACACTGGCAAGAAACTTGTGAAACATGGGTGTTCCTGAAGTTGGGAGCTCTTCATACTTGCCAAAAAAATATGATGATCCCTTACATAAGGGCCCATCATCCTTAGCAAAGCTTTGCGATTGATCAGCCGGACCGCCCACTCCACCCAAAGATCCCAGCCCGGAAAAAAGCCCCGGATGTGTCATTGGCATATTTGACCAGGACAAAACTCACTGCCACGGAAATACACTATTCTTTGCGACTCATTGCTAATTATGAGAAGAACTTCGCTGACTACAACAGGAATGACAGTCAGAACAGCTACCATGTTGACAACGGCTGTCTCGTTGGGAGTTTGGAGAAGGAACTTGTAGCAGCGCTCTGATCCATACAAGTGCCAGTCTGAACTCCTTGTTTGTGCTAGGCTAGTCAACGCTTGACAGGTGGTCTTGCCTTTCAGACGGCCCCAATGCTTGCCAAACAGTAAGGGCGTAGACTGCTCTGCTTGCATGCCAAGCGTTCTGATCACTAAAAAAAAACTTGTTTGGGCGAGGTTAGTTTAGAGCTGCATGAGGAAGTCTGAAGGGGCTAGACAAGGATCATGATGATTTTGCTGGGCCCCTGGCTCTTTTGAAGCTGGAGCATTCAAGGATTGGTGCCTGAAGCTCCAAGGTCAGTTTACGGAACATTAGAGCCATCATTGCAGCATACTAGGTGAGTAGATTAGTAGCTTGCTAGGCTATGTATCTATCTATCTATATACGTATATATACATACCTGCATGTCATCGTACTGCATAGGATCACAATGACAAGGTACTGTATTAGATTCATAGGCTATGGTATCTATTGCAGTAATGGCCTTGTGGCATGATCGTATCGAAGCTCGTAAGCAATGAATATTAAGGTACGAGGTTCGAATGAAGGTGTGATATTAGCCGATTAGCATGCTGGCAACAAGGTTTATGCGATGTGTGCAGTTGCTGACAAGGTGTGGGGGGGTCATACCCCGAGTGTCAGAGGAATCATGACTGCAGATCATCCAGGCCCAAATGGAGACAACTGAGCTCGGCACGATGTAGCCTCAGATGCAGTCCGTTAACAACGCTCTGCGAAGCAAAGGCTCCGCAAGAACTGCTGATGCCTTCGGGCTGTGTCTAAGTGTGTTTAAGCCATGTAGAACAGTCGTGATCTCAGAAGACCTCGGACCTGACAGTTCTCTCGGTGTTTCTAATAAACTGCCGCCGGGAGACCGATGTCGAGGCCAAAGAGAAAGGCACCGAGAGAAGCGACCAGCGCTGCGGTAGTGGCCTACTGTTGGCAAGATGGATGTAAGGTTCATCAGGGTGGGTGGAAGCCATGTAGCAAGTCTTCAGGCACCTTACTCAAGACAGCAGCCTTTCCAGCGCAGCATTGGCGTTTTCAGATGCCTACGAATGTTGAATGGGGTTCATCTCGGTTCGTGTTGATCTTGTACTTTGTGAGGATTGCTGGATGAAGGATGGGAAGAGAAACTGAACCAAGCAACCCCACTCCCCCCCCCCCCGCCGCCCCCATCCGCCTTGCCATCACCCATGGCTTCCTAGCGCTGGCGGGGTCTCCAGCACCGACGGAGGGCCATGAAGCAATGGAAATGTGCTGGATATGCCTTATTTCTGGATGCTAGAAACCAGCCAGCACATCTGCTGCGGTGCTTTTTAGAAGCCAACTAACATACGTTCAGCTGAATCTTTACAGTACGGTGGATCTACAACTACAGTAAGTATGGACCAGCAGGTGCCATGTTGTTGCCTCTATTCTTGTCCATGAACCCCTTGGCAACAGCACTTCGTAAATTTGAGGAAGGCATCCTGATTTCCGTTAGCCATAGCTTCAGGCTGCGCCTTGTTCCCCTATATCACCCCCAATATTCTAGTGGTTTCCATTTTCTTTTCCATTATCCCTATATAACCCATGTATAGACCCTATACAATCCCTATATATTGAAGTAGTTTCCATTTTCTTTTCCATTATCCCTACATAACCCCCCTCTGTCATAAGCCGCTCTCCAGAAGTCAGGTTCGCTATCAGATGGATGTGCTCGGGGCTAGAGCTCTACAGCCCCTGAGCCTGAGTGGCAAAAAGCCAACGAGTTGCTGGACAGGGGGGGTACATAGGGGAAATGGAAAAGAAGATGGAAACTAGAGCGATACATAGGGATAATGGAAAAGAAAATGGAAACTAGAGGGATTGTAGGCATAATGGAGAGGAAAATGGAAACTAGAGCGATACATAGGG